TCCTCGTTTTATTGGGCCGTATTCATAAGTTAAATGAGAATTAAAGGGAATGATTAGTGAAAATCCTGAAAAGAAGGTCGAAATACGTAAAACGGTAAATTGACAAATTGTTGTTGACCTTGTTACCAATTAATTTTACTTAGTATAAACTAAAGTATGTAGAGGAAATATAAACTAAATGGTATATTTTTGGTCTCCCAAGTAGGTGATTCATTGCCTTGTCCTTAGTGAGCTAACAAATCAACAAATGGTGTATTTGGTACCCAAGTAGGTGATGAATCCCACGCTAGCCTTGTTTCATTAGATGATGAGTGGATTAAATAATCAAAGAAACTAAGTACAAGTGGTTGAAACAGTAAGGCATCAAGTGGCAATCGGTGGATCAAAAGCAAATGGAAAAGGGAATTGAATAAATTGTAGAAACTAAAGAAATTGAGAAGCCAAGTCGGAAACCCTTTGTCCCTTCAAGCGGTGACCAAAAGAAGAATAAAAAAGAAAGAAAATCCTTAGTGAAATGGAAACAATAAGGTCGACAAGTTTGGTGTCCTTCCAAGCGGTGGAAATTAATCAACAAAGGTGCAACCTTGTGTCTAGCGTGGGACCAAAAAGAAAGAAGTAAAAAGGTGAAATTCTTGTCATGCTGAAACCAAGTCGGCTTCTTGTGCCTTCCAAGTGGTAATCAAAAGAAAAGAATTCTGATTTGCTTTAAACAATCAAGTCGGTTCTTCCTTGTCCAAAACCTCAAGTCGGTTTCTTCTCCCTATCATAATACATGACCGCCCCTTGTTTTCTTTCTTTCCTTGCATACGGACAAGGAAAAATCTGGTGAGAAGCAAGTCAAATAAACAACTTAGACCAGCCTTGTTAGTTAGTCGGTTGCCTCCTTTTCTTTGTGACATCAAGCAGCTAAAAGTTTGCTTCTAAACCGTACAACCAAGGAGACCTCAAGCAGCTCAATCCTTTCTTCTAAAACCTTAGCAGCCCAAGGGAGTTAAGAGGAGCTAGTGAGTATTTTCTTGTCCCTAAAATGCTTAATACTTTGAGGAAAATAATCCTTGTGTTGTTGTGGTCATAACCTTGTATTTTCCTCTTCTTGATAAGTGGTAAAAGATGAGTTTCCAATCATATATCATGCGCACCAAGGGGCTGACTTTGGAAGGAGTTTCATTTAAATATGTTATGGCTTGATGGTTCATGAATCCCTTGGATCGAAGTGCAAAACATGGTTATATTTGAAAGAAAATCATGGACTTTGAAATTGGCCAATTCGGCCAAGAGGAGAAAATTGTGTAAACAGTATGTTACCAAAATTCTAGGTGGAAGTGGATGTTGGTTTCTATAAGTTAAGATGATGTTTTGACATTTTTTGTATTATGACAGAATTACCGTGTATTGATGATTCGTACATGGTTGTTGTAGGTTGTCGTACGTTGATTTGCACCCCGAACCGTGAGCTCGGTGGATTGCCCTTGGTCCTGGATTAAGTGAGATCGAGGTGAGTAATTGGAACCATGCTTGTAGAATTAGTAACTTGCATGTGTTCATATGAACAGTAATTAATTGTGAATGTCATCTGTGTAGGAATTTCTGTTGTATAGCGAGCTCGAGAAATAATATTGTGGAGCTAAGTGAAGAGGCTTATTGAGGTAACCTCTTGGTACTGGGGCTTGTTTCCCTTGTGTGTTCCACCATGCCGTTGAGGGTGATGGTAGAAAATGTATATGAGTAATGTAGAATAACATGATCATGCATTTAGTATGTATGTTGGTACATAGGTACCGAGTCTCTGGCCAGCAGACAGTTTTGCCTTCGGGTGTTTCGGACTTCCACTGGATAGGTCTCCGAGAGGGAGTTCCAGTTGACCTAGGGTCGTGGTGTGTGATCCGGATAGGAGCACACTAGGAAGTCTCGGGTGTATGCGGATGGAATGGGTACCTTGGTTGATGTTCTAGGAACACGCCTTGGATGAGACCCATAGGCTTTATGCCGAGGACGTTCCGTGGTGTTGGTAGCTACCATTCCAGCTTCGTCATATTTTGTATCCTATGATCCCCGTTTTCACTAAATTCCTTGTTGTATCCTGTTTTTAAGAAGTAATTTTATATTATTTATATGCATCGAAGTGAGCCATTGGCAGAGTATTCTCCAGAACCTCTGGGTTAATGAGATATATTTGTATATCTCACTCCGTCTTCGGGGCTTTATTTCAGGAGGTAGCAGTGGTGCAGGAGCAGCGGGCAAAAAGCCTGCATGATGATTATCTGGAGTATTTGCAGTATTTTGCATTTTGGTGGCCACTGGGCCTAGGCTAAACTTAGGGCATGAATATTCCATATGTATGTAAGATGAGTTACAGTGTCATGTTTGTTCATGTCATTTTGCCTAAGTCTAGTACATATATCATTTTGAGGTTTTTACAGTATGTTGTATTTGAAGACTTTGAGTTGTAAAGTGTAATATGCATATGGAGATTGTAAACTGTACCTGAATACTTGATGTGATATGTAAACATGTAATATGATGGAAGGACAATAGCCCTATTTTAGGAATATGATTATGTGTATGTTTCGAAGATGCATGCAATTGGACTTTGATGATTGAAACGTATTAAGTATTAATCGAGGAAGCAGTGTGATATGTATCATATAAGTAAAATAAACTGTGATGAGTTGTAAGTGCCCCAAGGCATTGTTGGTCCTTGTGTGTGCCACCCACTAATTATTAGGTACCATTTGAGGTCATAGATCACTTGTATAAATTTGGGAAACATTGGAAAAACGAAGGAAACTCTGGCAAAATTTCTAGGAATTGACAGTTTTTAGGTGAACTTTGGGAGAACATATCTCCCTCCACAGAGGTCCGATAGGACGTTCCATATGGCATTTTAAAGCTTGCGATGTCCCCTACGTTTTGTTAAAATATGAGGAAATTCTGGGTTGCACGCAGCCCTGTAGAATACTGTGAACACGTATTGTCCAGAACGCTCTTGTGAAGGGGCTGTTTCTGGCAGTTTTCGGGAATTTTATTCCCGCTTCGTTTCTCAGTCAAATTAAGCGTATAATATATCAAATTGAAACTTGAGGTGTCTAGTTTGTCATATAAAAATTTGAGAGAAATTGGATGAGTGGATTTTCTACAGTAATTTGTGGAGTGAGAGATGTTTGGAGTTGTTTTGGGGTTGGTTGACAGTTTTGCTTGTCCAATTTCAAACGGCGATATCCGGAGCAAACGAGCTCGAAATGACTCGTGTGATGGCTCATTAGAAAGGTATTTAAGTAATAAAAAAGATAGCTAAAGATGAAGGTCTGGTTTCGTGCGGTGTGTCCGCAGAAAAATAATAACCGAACTATGTTCGGATAGGTAGAAAACGTAAGATTGTGAAATTGGCTAAGTGGATTTATGGGAACCCTTAGTGACTTGTATTAAGTAAAATAAGATATAAAAATAGTTTAAATAAGTATTCTGCAAGAGTTTAAAGTTATGGTCGCAGCTTTTATTTATTACGCTTTTTACGGTTTTAAAGAGCAGAGGGTGCGCAACAGATGAGGGGGAAGAGAAAAGAAGAAAAAAAAAGAAAAAAGAAAGAAAGAGAAGTCACGTGACATTTAGACATGGAATATTAAGAGCCGTCAGATGTTATTAAAATCAAGGGTTCAGATGTGGTGTCAAAGGATCCTGCCCCTATATATATATATGTGTGTGTGTGTGTATGGTAAAACGATTTCTACAGTCGCTTTATGTACAACAATGACATGTGTATGATTATGATTTCTCACATTTAATGCTTTCATCTTTTGTATGGTTATGATTCCCCACGTTTAATGCTTTCAAGTATATATATATGACGAGTATTTGATTGTTGTACGTACAACAGCTGCAGAAATATAAACCCCTATATATGTATATATATCTTAAGCAGCTTGAGAAATATTTTTCTCATATTTGTTATGTTACATGATCTAATTGCTATTTCCTACACACATATATAGGGATTATTATTTGTCATGTCACTGGATGGTCAAGTCATAATTAAATTAAGTCGTTTTGTTTATTTATTTTCTTATATTAATTCATTCACCTTGTAACGGTTACAATTTTTTGAATTTTTTGGGAATTAATAATTAATTAATTAATGTGACCAAATAATTTCTAATAAATTATAACCATTAGATTGACGGAAATCAATGATGATTAAGTTAGTTGTAAATGTGGTAAACTTTTATGGTGGTATATATATCCTTACCCATATATATATAAGGTTCATTTTTCTACGGTGAATGCAGATAAGTATCTGTATTGAGCCCAAAACGATATAGTCTTGAGACGAAAATCAAGATATTTTTATAATTATAATTTATTTCAGAGTTATAATAGTCTTTATTATTATAATTTTTTACGCTTTCCACCAAAAATGATGTAGTTTTGGGAGTAAATGTAGATAATTTATCTACATTCAATATAAAATATTAAAGCCATTAAATAAAAGAAAAAATGTGTATCATTTAAAATGATGGTCCTTTTAATCAAAGTAGTGTATTTTTTTGAAATTTAAATTAAAAAGTTTTCCCTCCACTCTCTTCCCATGTTTTATTTCTTTGTCTCTTCTAAAAGGATATAAATGTGTGTCATTTAAAAAGACATACATTTTTCGCATACATAAATTAAAAGAAGGAAAAAGAGTGTCATTTTAAAGAATATGTAAAATTATGTCATTTTAAGTGAGAGAAAAAAGTAAATCATGAAGAGGAGGGAGTAGATAAAAAAATAAAAGTACGAGTCTCATAAAAGGAGAGTGTGTCAAATTCAAATTTTTATTGTTGTGAGAGTGAAATGACATAAATTGTATTATTTAGAAGGATAAATATTTTATCTTAAAAGAATTTGAATTTAAAATTATAAATTCGATGCTGTTCTCCGTACACAGTGCCCAATCAACCTAGATTTAAGGCTAGATTTTGTTATGACGGAACACAGCTTCTCATGTGTCGACAATGGCAACCTTGACTTCCCCTAACAACCAACCAAATAAGCATTCTTCATCGACTACGATCCGTTTCTTTAAGATTATTCTCAATAAAAGTCTGGAAAATGGAAATCTTGTAAGCATTTTCTTACTTTCATCTCTTCACACTGTGTTTTCTCTTTTCATTTCATTTGGTAATATTATCAAATGTCTCTCTGTAGATCTCTGCCTTTTTCTTTGTGATTGTTATTGTGAGAGAGAGGGAGAGAATGCTCATTACAGAGTCATACACATACATGGTTTGTTTCCACCTTAGGTTTTCTACATCATTTCATCTTGGGGTTAGTGGGAACTGTAAGTTGATTTCTTTAGCTGTGTACTTGGCTCCTTCGTGTAAGTCACTGCTGGATCAGAATGCAGGGTCTTGAATATACCTCCACATGATTCATGTGTGTGTATCAAAAGTGAACTAACTATGCTTAGGGTCTAGGGAAAGGAGAGTGTGTGAGACCTATAGTACGAGTCCATACCATGGTAGTTAAAATCTGGATTTAAATCTTAAAATCTCGATTTTAACGATTTATTTTTGCTAAAACGATTTAGATTTCACTTAAAATAGTTTCCAATATAAAATCTCGATTTAGACATTTACTTAAGTCTCGATTTTAAGATTTAAATCCCGATTTTAACTATTGGAATGATGTTAAGCAAGTTAGAAAAATTGTTGAATATAACATTGCTGATGTTTCATCCGAAGATAAATGGATTGTAGAAAATAAAGGAACTTTATCTCATGATGAAAGTGTTTAGATGAAGACAATTTTGAATGATGTAGTTGAAGATCACGTGGAACAGAATGTCTTCGATGATAATAACTTGAATGATTTATTAGCTTAGACCCTTAGAGTGTGACAATTGTATGCAAATGTATAAGGATGGTGGCAGGTAGTCTATTTTTTTTAATTTTTTTTTATATATAAGCATATGTATATAAAGATTTAATTTTAGAGTGCAGGTACAATCTACGATTTGTATTACGATTTTACGATTTACGATTTTTTATTCTCTTTCCAATTTTAGGTAAAATCCCGATTTTGACTACCTTGGTCCATACTAGATAGCCTTATCTTGCATTTGTTGATTACATGACTCAAACATGTGATTTTCGGGTCACATGGATGTGTTGTGTCAAGACTTGAAGAGTATGAGAAAGCCATGTCAAAGGTATTAGATCATAGCAATCCGTAGTGGCCAGTTCAAATGCAAAAGTTTCATATTGAGCACTGTGAACTGCTACTTGTGAGCTCATTTGGTTAAAATAGCTGATCAAAGAGTTCAACATTTGTGAATGTCAGCGAGTAAAACTGATATGGGACAATTGGGCATCATTACACATATCCTTAAATCAAGTTTTCCATGAAAGAACCAAACATATTGAAATTGATTACTATTTTATCTGAGAGAAGATTTAATAGGGGGAGATTGAAACATATTTGGTAACTCCTATGATCAACGTTATTATATTTTCACTAAAACTTTTAGAGGTTCCTAGTCAACTATATATGTGACAAGCTTGGCATATATGCAGCGGCTTGAGGGAGCTCATTTATTGTGGTCCGGGACTTGATAGTCCTTACCCAAAAATGGGAAGAAAAAATGATTGAGAGGGAATTTGAAAAGATGAGAGAGATTTAAATGGAAATTTTTTTTTTCCTTTTTTAGAAATGGTGCACCCAAAAGACTATGCACCGGGTGTATATTAAAAAAATCCGGCTTGAGGGGGAGTGTTAGAATAGAATATTGTTAAAATATTTAATTAGTATCTGATTGTAACTTACTAGAACCCGATTAGGATTAAATGGATCAATTGTAGTTATTGTAATGCATCCTCATTAATATATAGAGTTCCTATGGTCTGATTAGACACACAACAATTTTCACTCAAATCTCTAATTTCTAGGTCTATTAATTATTTAATATCATAAAGCCATGCCAAAGTATCAGACCATTGCTGAAGAACAGAGAAGAGAAAAGGGTAGAGAAAAACAGCTTGGTTATCACCCTAACTAACTCATTAGATTCAAGCTGTTAGGTACCAGAAACCAGGAGAGAAATATTGGAAACTTGAACACAGAATTTTATTTCTCTAAACTGGTAATAAGGAACAAGAATAGATACATAATGAAAGGAATTACAAAGTAAAGGAAAATTACATAATAAGAAAAATGTACTAAAAGGAACTGGTAACTCAGTAGGGTTTGAGAGTACTGTTCTCTCCCAAAGTCCCTATTCCAATTCTACCAAAAGCTTGACTATCCCTCTTGGCATTCCCTATTTAACCTCATACACCCATGTGTGTAGTACACCCCTATTGCTGGTGTTCTATCACAACAGATTGGGCTATCAGCATGTAATGGTAAATAGGAAACCACAAGTAGAGGAGCAAATAATCATCAGTACATGTTAAATCTCTGTTATGCTTGAATGTCATGATGCTTACTAACATCAGGTTCGACCACAGATGATCCCAAACAATTTCACAAGGAGATATGGTGATGGTCTGCCAAACCCAATGTTTCTCAAAACCCCTGACGGCATTGAATGGAAAGTATATTGGACTAAACATGATGGTCAAATTTTGTTTGAAAAGGGATGGAAAGAATTTGCTAGTTATTACTCCCTAGATCATGGGCATTTAGTAGTGTTTGAATATGAGAAAAATTCTACTCATATTGGGGTACACATATTTGACAAGAGTGCCCTTGAAATAGACTATCCTTTCAATGACCATATCATTGATGATTCAGTTGAAATTGAGCTACCTCCATGTCAGAAGAAAAGACTGAAGTCACCAATGTCATCTCGTCCAACAAGTGAGAAATCTAGAACTGGCATAGCTAGAGATGATGAAAGAAGCCCCAACCCGCAAGATTTGCTCCAGCATGTCCAAACTGAAGGTAGTCAATCTGAAGTAACAAACTTTGAGATGCCAATAATTGCATCTGTCAAGCAAGAGTTGGATGGTATGTATTTCAAGATCAGATCATTTCGTTTAGTGGATTCAATTGACCACTTGATGTTAAATGCATAACATACCCCTGTTATTCTGAGGATGTGTTCAGTTTTTCAGAGGGTATCTGTGGTGTAAGTTTATCACTTTGTGCCTAAAAATTGAACAGGAAACTTCTACTAAATTACTAAGCTTTGATTAAAACCGATATAAAAATCCATCTTTTATGCTTGTCATATATTCCTTGGTGTGCATTTGATAAATACATCATATGTAATTATGATTTAGATTTTATTTTTATTTTTATTTTTATTTTTATGTTTTATTTTTTTTATGAATAGATAATGTCTAATCTTGTGGTCGAAACAGATTAAAAATCTTGGTTTTTCTATCAAAACCAGAATATACCATCATGATTTGCAGAAAATGGAGGGGCTATCTTCAACATGCTGCTGCATAGTGCATCCTTAAACTAAATGTATTTGTTGGCATGTCACAGGTGGGAATGCAAGCAAAAGAACTTCACAGTTGATTACTCCCTGCCCTGGGACAACCGGAGCTCTAGAAGAAGCTAAGAAGTTCACCTCAGAAAATCCCTTTTTCATAATCAATATAAGGCAAAGTTATGTGAGCAAAAGCAGACCAGTAAGTACAAGTTAAGCAGACATTTATTTGAGTATGAGTTTTTATATGATGCCAGCTTGCTGGTATTATTGTACTTTCAGAAATTGTTAGGCTCTATTCTGACAATGATGAAAATATAACACAATGCAGAGTATACCAAATGCCTTCGTCAAAGAGTATGTAAAAGAGAACAAGCCGAATGTGACGATACAGTTTGGGAAGAAGTTGTGGCCTGTAACGTTGCTCCATTATCCAATAAAATGTATTGTCAGTTTCGCAGTTGGTTGGTCCCGTTTTGCTAAAGAAAACAAATTGCGAGTCGGAGATATTTGTATATTTGAACTTGTTAATAGAGAAGAGTATGTGTTTGATGTTCATATTTTCAGAGGCCACACATAGGCAATCCAGTGGGAGCTCTTAAACTGAGTAATTTTGCAAAGGGTGTATTATCCATCTTGCTAAAATCGACCTTGTATTGTTGCTTATCCTTTAATATGTGAACCAATAATATATATGCTGGGATTCACAGTTTTATGCTTGTCTTGTTTGATTGCATATGTGAATTTGGTAATGCTTGAGAGGCTCCTTGAACACCATATTTTCGTAATTAAAAAACAGAGACTGCTATTTGGTGATCATTTTCTTTGCTATGACTCAATCCACTCTCACTGTCTGTGAACCTCACACACAACGCATAAACGAACTTCAACAAAGTAAAGGGCTTGTCAATTTTTTTTATTGTTTTTTTTTTCTGTACAATCTAATTCAAACTCACACACATAAATGTCTTGATAATTTATTTATTTAGGTAGTAAAAATCAAAAGAATTTGGGACCAGGGAAAAAAAAGTTACGAGGAACTTAAAAAGAAAAAGGAATGATGAAAACAAATCTCACTGATTATATATATATAGAGGCAGATCCTTTGACACCGGTGTCAAATTTGAAATTTGACATCTCATCTGCGAGTCGTTAGTTAAAAAAAGATCAATGGTGTCACATGCTTACAAATTAGAGTCGTTGATCTTTTTTGATCTAATGACTATTAGATGAGGTGTCAAACTTTAAATTTGACACCGGTGTCAAAAGATCCTATCCCATATATATATATATGTGTGTGTGTGTGTGTGTGTATGAGATAGGATATTGTGACACACAAATAATGTTACGCACAATATTACGACCACATCTTAATCGTTGATTTCCGCCAATTAACGGTTATCATTTATTGCGAATTAATAATATTTACTATAACTGTGTTCTCGCGGGAGAACTTAGTGCACTGGACCAAATTTTACATCCAGTCACTGTACACTTACTAAATCCATATATATATTAGTCTTAATCATTATAATTTTTTAATCTTATAACCCCAAAACGACGTCGTTTTGAGCTCACTAGAGATAACTTTATCTCCAATGAGTGGAGAATTATATATATATATATATATAAGAACTTTAAAAAAAAATTTATAAGTTAATTATTAATAATATAGGGAGAGGTTATACTTACTACTGAAAAGTTTTACAACTCTTACTACTAAACTAATCATCGTTAATTTCCGTCAATCTAACGGTTATAATTTATTGGGTACACTTATTAATTAATTATTAATTCTCAATCAATTAACCGTTAGATTGACGAAAATCATCGGTGATTAGTTTAGTAGTAAGTTATAAAACTTTTCAGTAGTAAGTATAACTGCCCTCATATATATATATATATACACTTTAAATAAAGTTATCTATAGCTACATTTTATAACTATGTATTATCGATATTCGGTAGTACATAGTTATAACATTAAAGTTGTTTTTTTTTCTCTCTCTGTTAATATACAGGTTTTGAAAAGTGACTGAGAAAAGAGAAAAAAAAAAGTAACTTTAATGTTATAAGTATGTACTACCGGTAATACATAATTATAAATTGTAGCTGTAAATAACTTTATCTAAAATGGTTGTAAAAATATTTACTTCATATATATATATATATATATATATATATATATATATATATATATATATACATATAGGGTTTTATAAGAGTTATGTTGTAGGAAAAATGATTGTGTAATGTTATAGAGATTCGTTTTGCGTGCCGTAGTTTTTTTTGTTTCAAAAAGTGTGGGCCCCACAAAATGTTGTGCGTGTAGGAAACTTTGTTGTGTCATGTTAAATGATAAATGCAAATCTCATATATGTATAAGATCCTTTGACACCTCACTTGAGAGCCGTTAGATAAAAAAAGATTAATGGCGTTGCATGTTTACAAATCAGAGTCGTTGATCATTTTTTATCTAATGACTCTCAGGTGAAGTGTCAAATTTCAAATTTATTACTAATATCAAAGGATCCTACCTTATATATATATATATATATATATATATATATATATATATATATATATAGGGAAAAATATTTCTCAAGCTACTTGAGATAAATTTATTTCCAGCCACCCCAAAACTACGTCGTTTTGATTATTTATTCCCTTATACGTATTGATTCACCTTTGAATGGTTATGATTCCACTTTTCTCTCTCTTCCTTTATCACCATTGATCCATCTTTGTACGGTTATGATTTAGTAGCCGGATATAACTTTATCTCCGGCAGCTTGAGAAATGATAAGCCCATATATATAAACAAACCCATATATAAAGGGTTAAACGCAGTGTTTTAAAACCCCGCCCCGCCTCCCGGGTTGACCCGGATCAACCCTGACCCCTCTCCTCTGAGGGTTGGGGTCATAAGTTGGACCCTATATGCATATCGACCCCTCCGACCCCCAAAACTCGGCCTGATTTCAGTGACTCCCGATTCAGAGGGGTCAAAGGGGGTCATTGCATGTTTTTTTTTTTAAAAAAAATTCCATGAAACAACAACATTTTATTTAAAAAATAATATAAAAATACTTGCAAACCTAAATCTAATCCTTCTCTTCTCTCCCAGCGACCTAGATGTCTTTAATCTTGGCCTCGCTACCGTGAATCTTCTAGAAAAGATAAGAATTTTACCCATTCAAATGAAATCCTTACTGTCGTCGATGGAAAACAAAATCCCATTCATACTTCCTTTAAATTTTTCTTTGTCAAGAACATTATCAAAAGAGGTAGAACCAGGCAAGCGTAGTGACCCATTAGAATATGAGTTTTGTATTTTGGTATCTTGATACTTTAATTAGATTGTGTAATATTGACTTGTGGTTGTAATTGGTGAATTATGTTAAGTATATTTTGAATCTTTGATGATTGGTGGTTTGTTTTTTAATATTTTCATATAGTATATATATTTATATTTTTTTAATATATAAAATCGGGTCAGCGTAGTGACCCCATACCTCCCGGTTGAACCCGTGACCCCAGGACCCCTGACCTCGGCGGGATCGATGGCCGGGTCGGATTTTTAAACACTGGTTAAACGAGCCCCATGGCGAGCATTTAAATTTTTGTGCCAAGCATTTTATTTTTCATGTGGACCCTACATAGGGGTGATAAACGAGCCAGGGGCCTTTCAGAGGCCTTTGACTCGGCTCGTGAAGGCTCAGGCTTACATGCCTAATATTGGTTGTTGGAACCAGGTTTGGACTTGTATAAAAGCTCGTTTAGTAAAAAAGCCTCAGACTCCAATTCAAAAGTTCGACCTTGGAGCCTCTCAGGCTGGCCTAGTATATTAATTTTTATTTTTATTTATATTTTGTATACTATTTGTAATAGTCTTCTTTCTTCTCTCAATCCATTTCACCCCTATTTTATTAGTTAAATAGACTTTTTGAATGATTTTGTTCTATATTATGTTGTTTCGATATACATTGAATTTATGAATATTTATGGAATTACTAGTGTTGTTGATTGTATATTCTGTTTGGATAAATTTTTATTGTCTTATTTTTTTTTAACAGGCTAACAGGCCAAATCAGGCTTTTATGTTTTGTAAATAAGGCAGGTCACATGCCGATAATTATATTCGTAACAGGTAACAGGCTTGGTAAGGCCGACACATTTAATCACAGACTTAGCCTTTTAAGACCAAAGCTCGACTCGGCTCGGCCCGTTAACACCCCTAACCCTACATATGTTTTGTCTTCCTGGAAAACATTTTCTCCTTTTTAAGGAGAAAATTTTTCTCATGTCAGTGACTCATAGCATAAGTGGGTCCCACCTTGAAATTTTTTTTTCTCCACTATTTTGTGGACCCCACTTATATTATGAGTCACTAATATAAGAAAAAATTTCTCTTTTAAAAAGAGAAAATGTTTTCCCTTTCTTCCTAGCTGAAAACAAGGACTCTCGTACATAGTCATTTTGCTATATATAGGTAGAATTATTTGACATCATCAAATTGTAACTATTAATTTTTATGATCAACAATTATTATTTATTGAAAATTAATAATTAATTAATAAGTTTGATTGGAGAAAATGATAATCATTAATTGACAGAAATTAACGGTTATAATTTGATGTCAAAGTTTAAAATTTAAACATTTACGCTATTCTCCGTAGTCAGTGCCCAATATAGGAACAAAATTAAAAATTTATGCTATTCTTCGGACCCAGTGCCCAATAGGGGAACAAAATTTCAGTGCAATGAATGTGCTAAAGTTCAATATATCTCTACTTCATTTTTACTAAAATACATAAGCTGATCATGTACAAATTTTTAGGACCATATGATCTGCCTACATATCGCAATAAAAATTAATTAGGAATGCACGTATGTAGATTTTTCCCCAATAAAGCTAGATTATGTTCTGAAGGGACACAGCTTTTTATGTGTCAAAGGGACACAGCTTTTTATGTGTCAACAATGGCAACCTTGACTTCCCCTTACAACCAACCAAATAAGCATTCTTCAGTGACTACGATCCGTTTCTTTAGGGTGTTTGGTTCAAGTTTTTGGAGAGGATTACCGGTAATTTTTCTTTGGTAAATGTAATTACTACGTTTGGTAGAAGGAATAAATTACGATTCCTAGATATCTAAGGATTACCGATAATTTGATTTATAAAGAAAAGTCACTATTCAGATTACCAAAAATAATATGGTAATTCAGAATACCAATCAGAATACCAAGTAAAAGGAAAGCACAACAATAAATTTTGAGATAAAAATACCCAATACACATAAAAATCTAGACCCAATCTATCAATTACAAAAGTAAAAATAGTTTGGGGTTATTTTTGTAAAATAACCTCATATTCCAAGTCATATTTCGTTCTAAACCAAATATGGAATCAGTAATTTTTACCCAATATTCCCGGTAATATTTTGGCGAACCAAACACATCTTTCGTAAGATTCCAAGTAAACTCAATTTCTACTGAATTCTCGTTAATCATGATTCCCGGTCACCAAAAAATTTCTCTTCTACCGAACACAATTCTCACTAAAAGTCTGGAAGATGGAAATCTTGTAAGCATTTTCTTACTTTCATCTCTTCACACCGTATTTTCTCTTTTCATTCCATTTGGTAATATTAGCTAATGCATCAAATGTCTCTCTGTAGCTCTCTGCCTT